ACAGCTGCATTATCTAAGATGGTGGTGGTGGATGGAATGATGAAGCTTCTTGAATGAGAAGTGAAATGTCTCCTTCTTCTTTTTCCTCAAGTAAAAAAGTGCAGTTACCTTTTTGAAAATGCATCTTTGAGACAACTATGTCCTGGAGAACTGAGAATCTCCACAGACATAATGATTTAGACTTCTCATTATGCAGCATTCCTGTACTCCAGGGTCACATATGATCCTGGACCACAGACTTTTGATTTTCTCGAAGAAAATATACTAAATAAAAATAGACACACTGGAGATGAGAACAATAACAAAATTTAAGGTGTGAGGATACATATGAGCACCTTTTATATCCACAGACTTAATAGAATTCAGTTCCTGCTGCTGAATGCCAGTGCTGTGCAACTCAAACATTCACAATAGATCAACGATGGGAAAATCATGGTTTTTGGGTTAATTTCAAAAGCGATCTGTTCAGATTTCTGGTCAGATCAACCTGAAAAGGGTAGCCACTGTTTATAGCTTTCTTCAGTTTTTCCAAAATAAAACTGGCTGCCTTTAGCATAACATCAGAACTGTTAGGAGTCCTTAAATTTAGCTATTTTAATTTTCGGCTCTTGTTAATCTTCTGACAACTATCTGATGAGTGTAGTCTCCAAGTTAGGAAGTCTTTGTCAATATTTTAACATTTCCTTTAGGGCTGAACATTTCCTTGCCTCTCTGTGAAACCCTGGACTATCTCAGAGAAACCTACAGTCTCCAAAAGTAGAAATTGCTTGAGCAGGAGAGAAAGGGAGGAGTCCTAAATATGCACGCCAGTTTTCTAAACTGCAGTGCTTATTCATGAAACAGGGGTCTCTGCTCAGGGAAAGTCCTTCAATAGATGAAAGCATGAGTAATAACAAAGCTGGCATCAAACTGTTTAAAGGAGAGATAAGCAGCTGAGGTCGGTTTCTTGGAGATCTGCCCTTTATCTCTTTTATAGATGTCCCAAATGCAAAAGGAGAGAATATAAAGATCTTTTCTTAATGCTCGTTCCTGCAATACTTTAAACAAGTACTGAAGTCACCGAGCCCAAAGACTGGATCAGCCATGGATTAAGAATGTGTCTATCTGGGAACTGCAGCCAAAAGATTTAAGGCAAGGCCCTTTATAGGATCCAGGAGTAATAAGAATGATTCTGAACATATCCTTTCCAGAGACTTGCTTAGCAATGGAAATTCTGGTTCTCCACTGTGTGTTCTCCTAAGTCAAGGAGAACTTCTACACAATAAAATAGATGTATGAATTGTGAATCTACAAATTTGGCCATGTGGTTGAACCCCAGTCACTCATTTTGCTAATAATTTATGTGTAAAACTAGCAGACATAACAAGTTTGGGTTAAAAGTTGACTTTTAGATCCTTGACCTAAAGAAACAGAAATGAATGGATTGTAAGTTAGCGTCAGCAAAAGAAGCATGTTCTTCCGATGCTTCATCCTTACCAGCATCATCAAGTGTATGGGTTTATAAAAGAAAGTTGCATTATAAAGAACTCATTAGTTTGAGACATCCAGATCAAAGAGCTTCTGCCTATGAGCCATTACCTCACTCCCACAAGCTCATCCAGGCATACCGCCAAATCAGATTCATCTAAACATGAATGGATAGCAAATCATCTGAGCTCTCTCCACTAGGTCTCCAGATTGCTAAATATGAAATGCAGGCAACCATCGTCTGGAGAAGCTTAGCTAATGCATGCATGTAGAAGAACAAATGCTGAATCATTTCGGGGTTCTGGAACATATCTGAATTCTCCTTTGGGCTACATCCTGCAGCATTCAGAATATGGTATAGTTTAACTTCAAAATACCACTCTGGCACCTTTATTTTTTTGTAGCAAGTGCACTTATCAGGATTGTGCTTATATTTTTAGAAAACAGCTCAGTGTGCATCTTCTGGGTTTATTTATGTTTATCTATTTATCAAATGTATACTCCACCCATCTTGCCTAAGTGATTTTAGGTGGTTTACAAATAGCAATAGGAATAGGAATTAGACTTATATACCACTCCATCAAGTTTTAAAGCACTCTCTGAGCTGTTTACATAGTCAGCCTATTGCCCCCAACAATCTGGGTCCTCATTTTACCGACCTTGGAAGGATGGAAGGCTGAGCCAACCTTGAGCCCCATCAGGATTGAACTTCAGGCTGTGGACAGAGTTAGCCTGCAATATTGCATTCTAACCACCATCAGGGATAATTACAAGTAAAAACCAGGTAGCCATATATAAGATACATTGATAAAAACAAAGTTTAAAATAGGAGTAAAATCAAACTTAAAAAGTTTAAAAAGCTGAAGCATCACACTCTTAGGCCCCCCGAGGTGGATGATGCTCAGATTCTCATGACACTTGGCAGATGCAGGTCCTGACACTCTTCCAGAAGGCCAGCAGAGTGGGGATCTGTCTTACTTCTGGGGGTGCTCCATAAGGAAAAGGCAATGGCAGAGAAAGACTCCACCAATCTAATTTTTTTTGATTGGCGGGGTCCACAAACATATTCTCTCTGCCTGACTGGGTCACCATAATTTGTACAAGATAGTTCCTTAGATCAATAGTCCCCAACCTTTCTGGCTTTGTGAACTGGCATGTGGGGGAGAGGATGGTTTCACATGGGTAGACGGTGAGCATGCATGCCCAGTTCCATTTGCATGAGCAGCAGACATGTGCACCTGCCACTCATGCAAAGAGAGCTGCATGTGTGAGAGCTTTCCTGATGCTTCCATGGCCCAGTTCCAAATGGGCCATGTCCTGGTAGTAGGCTATGGCCCAAGGGTTGGGGACCCCCACCTTAGGTAACCTGGTTCCATTCCATGTAGGACTTTAATGGTAATAACCAACCTCTTTAGTTGGACTTACAAACATTCTGGCACACATAACAGAGGTGTTAATGTGGAAATGTAGGGGCACCCAACACTGTTCATACTGCCACATTCTGCACCAGCTTAACAACAACACATTTTAAAAAAAAATTCTGATTGATGATACAACTGTTTTAAAGAAGTGGAGATGGGGGCAATGTTTGGAATACAGACTTTGAATTTGAAATCAAATCCACAGTGTGCAGCCCTAGAATATATTACCTGAACACAGCAGTAAAGAAGGAGATGGAACAAAAGGGGACAAAGGTCTAAAACCTGAACAGGAATTCCTCTGATTTACGAAAGACATAACCCATGTTAAAGATTTAGAGTGGTTTTAATGTGTAGTCCTTCTCTGGAGTATTCCGGAATTTGAATTCAAAAACAGAGAGGGATATCAATATTAAAGGTAGCCTGCACCAAAGTTAAGAAAACTCAGAGGAAGCCACCATTGGTTAAATTGGCAATACACATTCTGGTATAGATAGAATCTCTCTCAAGATCTGAAGCCCAGTGTGTTCTCCAGGTTTGTATGTTTTTAAACTCCATTGCACATGCCCAAGAACATCTGGGAGGATTTGTTCTGAAGTGATATACAGCATATAGTTGGAAGGAAAGGCTTTCTTTATAATGGTGCTAGCACAGCCCTGTACACCGTGTTGCAGTAAGCACATTCTGCCCATTGCTTACCCCTCCCACCGCCCAAAATGCACAACTTGGACTTGGCCTGTCAGTGACTCACCAGACCTGTTCAGTGTCCATGGCTTATGCCAGTATTTTTCTTATTCTGTCTGCTCCATGGATCAAAGGTGACAGTAAGAAGGTCTTTGTAACAGTATTGGCAAGGAGACATGGCACATTTTTGCACATGAAGGACACCATGTATCTGATACGGGGCAACTTCCAAACACTGAGATTAAGCATAGTTTGTTTTCAACAGTTGGAGGGTGCATAAATTCATAGCTACAGCACAAAACAAAAGGGGAAGGGCAGGGGAGAAAAGGGAGAAAAAAGAGGTAGACTTGCTATGATATACGTGTCTTGACCTTGATTGTGAGCATGTTATTCAACAGAAACGCCCCTAGACTAAACTATAATACTCATAAACATAGAGCAACACACAGCTGAAATGTGTGGCCAGATTTTTTTTTCTCCTTTCAGTCAGGTTTGTAGCACTAAGTTGTCTGACAGGATATGAGAGTTGGATTGTATTTATACTGTTCGCGTTTGTTATATAATTAAAGGCCTGTAGAGTAAAGTGAAAGAATTGCCAAAGGGGGAGGGGCCCTGACATCAGTTGAAGCTGTTTTTGCAAACTCCAACATGCGTTGCTTCCTTTTTTCTTTTCTTTTTTTTTCAAAGTGAAAGCAAGCAAGCATGCATTCAGGAGTAGAGAAGTGCAGTTCAAGCCTATGGTTGTACCTCAGAAGTTAAGTACCACTATGTTTATGGAGATAACTCTGAAGTAAGTATGTCTATGATTACAACATTTGCAGCAGGTTTTTATTTTGTAGTGGTAGATGAAATTATTCTGTATTTTGCATTAATTTCTGCTTTGCACAACACACAAGCCATATTGTGGTTTGGCTTGGCACGTGGTCCAAACCTAGACATCACATTATAGTCAAGATATATTTTATAGTAATACCTTGGTTTTATTTAGATTAATTTAACATGTCTGAACCCAGCATAATCCCAGTTTATGGTTCAACCATCATTAGTCCAATACTGCTTTATTCTCTTACTTTGGGCACCTGCAGTAGGTGAACAACAACAGGTAGGGGATTCCGTGTTCTTCTCCTAGGTCTACATCTGCAGGGTATCTATTTTTTTATTGGGAAAAAAATTAATAGGATTTGTTAGCTACCAGAAAGACTTGAGGGTTGTTGGATTAAAGAAGAGAACTGGTAAATTGTGGCCAGCTGTGGGGTTTGTCATATGATCTTCATTGGATAAGAACATTATTCATAGTTATTGGTGAGTTATTTTTAAGTGTTAGTAAATAGTAATTGATAGTAATTGCATATTGTCAGTGCAAATGATGATATTACTATGTTAAAGGTGAGAATGAAATTGATGGATTTTGATTTAACAGATCATTGTTACTGATAATCTTGGTACATCTCTAGATAGTTCAATGATCTGGTAGAGATCAGGTTCTCTACAAACTTTACCCATGATAGTTCCAGTCAGTTTCTTCCTTGACTCGCCTACTTCTTTTACTGTTATACTGCTGGACATTGAGGAGAGATATCAAAAGACTGCAGACTATCAATGGACTTTCAGGACTAGTGGCTGGGAAGCATGAACAGAAAGGTTCTGTTACATTCACATCTTCTACCCTAGCTATGTGGTTGAGAATGTACTGCTAGATGCAGTTGGATTGAGTCAGGTTCTTCCTTTCATGGTGACACTAGTGTAAGATGTTCTTTTTTTGTGTGCCTTGAGCACTTGAGATGGAACAAAAGAACTTGGAACTACGTGGGTATCCAAGGGTATTTTTGGAACCCCAAAGAATCCGTTCTAATAATGGAACTTGTTAGGATATAGAGGTGTCTGTTCCAGCACAAACGTGCCAACAAAGAACGCACTTCTGGTGAAAATGTTTCCGTTGCAAGTCTTGCTCCCTATTGAGAAAAGCCAATACCCTTCATTCTGTCAAATGGCACTTAACCACTGCCATTTCTCTGGAAGAACGAACATTTGTGTTATATTTTCCAATAGCAAAAACTGGGGTCACCAGGGTGTCTGCTGTTTCTAGCCAAATCCAGATGGGGTTTTCCTATAAACAAGTGCATACAGAATATTTATACAGGCAGTGGCACCTGACGCCTTAGCACTCAGGACATTCTATTGAGTAGCCACTCATACTATAAGTCACGGCCGTGCATTAAGTAAATATTTTAATATAGCCATGTCACTGTTTATTATGGAATGGCGTGGGCCCAAATGCTTGCCTAATGCTTGGTTAAAAAGTCAGTTTACACCATCCTTTACAGTGAATCAAAGAATGCATAAACGGGACTCTTTTGTTACTCAGAGCTCTGTTTACTTTACTTTTCTGTAAACCTTTCGAAACACTTGCTTATAAGAGCTGATAGAACCCAGATTTTCCCCTGTACCAAAGGTGTCCTTGATGTCAGTAAGGTACCACACAGAGTAATCAATGGAGTTTCCACTGAATAAGCACCAACTTTCTCCTCTGCCCCTCCACAGCTTTGTTTAGAAAACAGAGCACAAGGAAAGAATGAAGACGAACTGAAGTCTGAGTTAGCTTAAAAAAGAATAGCAGCAAGGAATTGACCATGATAGTTGCAAATGCCATGGTAGAAGCAGGCTGGTGTTGGAGTTGGCCAGTTTGTAAATAAATTCTCTTACAGTGTTGCCTGCAGGTGGCTACTTGAATCTGGTGCTGATTATTGAACATTTTGGAATGTGTGATAAATACAGAGACAGAGTGCATTTTCGAGTTGGCAGCATGGTATATAAGCTAATATAGCATCAGTTCCAAACATATATTTTGTATTGCAAAAGATTCTTCACTGAAGAGTTTTCTGCAAAATCAGTGGACTTACATAGTTTTTTTTTTTTTTTAATGCAATAGCAGGTAGTTCTGAATGCTCCAGGGAAATCTAGCAAATAGAACAAAAGTTATCCTGAAATCCTAAAGCTTTCATGTAGATGCTGTCCAATTGTGTCTCTGGTTACATTGGTGCAGATCTGTTTGCAAATAAGTAACTCTGTACAGAATGATCAATATGCATATTTTCTTAGTTTAAACAAGAAGTAGAATATGAAAGTATCCTTTTCAGAAATGGAAGGGGTTCATTATTAATAACTGTTTGTCTTTAATGTTAGGAGATTGGTGCAAATGTAAAATCTATTTGACGTTTCCAATTGCAAATATAAAGATGATTTTAATTTTGCTTACTTCAGTAAATCTTTCTGCGCTGGACTGTTCAAAACTATAAATATTCATGGTATAAATGCACTATGAGTCTATTTAAAAGGATTAACCTTATCCCAGTTTTGATTGCCTGGTAAGAGATTATGTGGAATTGTGTGAGGCTTCCCCCCAACTCCAGATTAGGACATTCTTATCCAGAAATCATATTTGTGCTTTTAGGAATGTTTAACCTTCATATTTAATATTTTATTTGGCTTCCTTGGCTTTTCTTTATTTTCTTTCAGATTCACATTTTTGATTCTACATGGAGTTAAATTTATATAATCTGAAAAATTTAACAATTTTATTCTTTGTAAAATTTATACTATTCTTTTAAGCATGGGTCTTCTTTAGAGATACTTTTGAAATAAATAATATTTTATTTACTTCTGAAATACAATGGACAGAAACTTGTTTTGCTCCAGATCACATATAATCTATAATTACTGGATTAACATTATTTGAGGGTTGAGATTGTTTTGAAATGTCAAAATCATATACAGGTCTATGATATGTGATTAATGAATAGATAGTGTATAGTATGTGTGAGGGTAATCATCTTGCTATTAAGATAAAAAGTTGTACAGAGTTAAAGCAATGAATATTTTTAAAGAAATGCTGATTTCTCTCTCTCTCTCAAGAGACACAGAAATTTCCCTTTCACAAGGGGAAATATTTCTTTTGCCACCTTGAAATACTTTTGCTATCATTATGAGATATGTATCAATCTCCTTTCTAAACAAAAGCAGGAAGTTATGTCAACATACTTCAGCAATGCATAAAAGCGTACATTTTCATTCTGTAGTAACTGAACAAGTTGGAAGCAAAAGGTGGAACTGTAACAACCACAGAATGCTTTCAAGGAAGGTATAATTGTACATACGTAGCATCCAAAAAAATCTATAATGAATATATAAACAATATACATTTTGCATTTTATATATATTCAGGAAATTGAAAGCATCCTCACAGTTACCATTTGAAATATTAGCATATGCATTTATCGGTAGAATCAGAGGCTTTAAGTATTTTTTGTCAAGGCAACCTGGTCTACCCAATTATGGGATGGAGCATACCATGTCCGTTTTCGCCTTTCAGTCCTGGTCCAGAAAACTTCACAGGCAGTCGCTTTCACGACAAATTATTTTTGTGTTGGATTTGTGTTTTACCAACAAAGAAATAAATCAGAGGCTTTAATCGCAGAATATATGGAAGTTGATACCAATTTCTCACATTTCTGCCTAGCATATTGTGTGAACCTAGGCTTTGTGCTTAATTTATGCATTAATGGTTCTGTATGATTGCCACGATAATTGAGCAATCTTCTCAATTTATAATTTACAATTTTATTCAATTTTCTTGGCTTGCATGAAAAATTAATTACTAGGCTGAGTTTGCACAATGTGCAAATGCTAATGTGGTTTGGAATATCATCATCATTATCATCTTAAATACATTGTAGCTTGTCTACACAGTTAATATTAGAATCCAAACCCAGCAACTGGAATTAGCAGGATGCAATTACATCCAGCTTGCTTGGATGTAAATTTAACTGGTCATTGTGGTCTTTATTTTTTGAGTAAAAATGTATCCCTTCATGCTGCAAACTATACTTCAAGTTTATGCCCAGTCATCTTTCTTTGCAGAAACATTGCACATAGTCTAGATGTCACAACAACTATGGTGTCATAGGACATATGTGCCTATGAGCAAATTCCAGCTTCAGCCAAAAGCTCGTTGTAAATATCAGTCCAGGCATGGAAACTTAGGAGAAAAGGTGGCTAAACATGGATGATGTTTCAGAGAAGGGACATGGGCTTGGAAGCAGATCAAGCAAGAAGTCTGACAGCTTGAATGAGAAATGTATATGGCAATGGCAGTAACATCTAATTTCAGAACCAGGGTGGTCATTTAGGTAGCAGTGCTTACTCCCCTTTAGTTTAACTGTTCTTTTACATAGAACTCAATGTACTCATAGGATAGATTGCATTTGGCTCCTCTGAACATCTGCTTCTGCAGCTGAAGCTGCAAGCTTGTGTACCATTTGAAAACATGGGTTCTGCAGCTGATAAGAATCACAAAAATTTACTCCTGGGGGGGGGGTGGATTTCTAAAGTAGCTGATAATTCACTTTTATTGTCTTCCTATATTAATGGTAGCAGTAAAACTTAGCAATGCATTATTCATACCTTGCTTTAAAAATATTTATGAAAATTACTGAGGAGACCCAGTAATTATGTGTCTGCCCTCCGGAACACCAGAGGAGAGATCTTGATCTTCTTCTTTGTGGTGTCCCCTTGGGTATTGAAGAGTGCTATTATACTTAACCCCAGTCTACTCTTTTCAAGGCTAAACATTTCCTATTCCTTCAGCCTCTACGGGAATTTCTAGTCCCTTAATTTAAAAACTGTATGACAAATTGCCTTTTTTTTTTTGCAGTCACATTGTGGTGTTGTTTCTTATTGCAGTCAGCCATTATCCTTTTCTTGTATCTGTTAATTTTTCTAGTCAATGTCATTTTGAATTTTTATTTCTCTCTTCTAGTAGATTCTCACTCTACTCCAAAGGCTGCTACAAGCTCAATATGTTCCATGTTAGAGGGAAAATAAGCTCTCCCATTGAATTTTACTGGCAAATTCATATTCTCCATGTGTAGTTGTTCAATGAGTTGTTCAGTGAGCTTGTTCCTTAGGACAATGACATGTATGATATTCCCTTTACAGCCTCTGCTTGACATGAAGCAATCACTCATTACTCACAATGGACAGGTAGAAGTTTTCAGGGCATACCCCCTGTAGGAAGCAGCTATTGAGAAAAAGAGCTTCTCACCCTTCATGATTTAATTTAATTTATTCAGGTTAGTCACTGCCTGAATCCAAACCTCTGGTCAGTGTACAATGAAGGCAAACAGAACAAAGATAGAATGCAATAATTATAGAAGGTATAAGACACCAATAAAAATAAAAACTGATGACAAATCTGGCTACCCATGCCACACCCTCAGACAATCCAGTGGGAGCCCCAGACACCCGAACCCAAAGACCTGGGAAAACCACTAGTCTTTAAAGCTCTCCAGAATGCAATCGTAACAGAACATGTTGTTTCTCGTCACTCTTTTATACTTCATTCTCTTTCCACTGTTAAACTCCATTGGCAACTTCTTATTAGTCCTCTACATTGCGCAGATGGTTCTTAAATGCTAGTGCAATGATGGCAAACCAATGGCGTGCATGTCAAAGGTGGCAAGCCACAACCTTTCAGGGGACACACTAGCATTTACTTACACTAGACAGCA